TCCGACTGTATAGGCCTGGGCCATTTGGCGTCCCTGATTTTGCTGATGGCAAACACGATGTCTGATACATCGACGTTGAAGTTGTATTTTGATAGGCGAGGTGCCCCTGTTGGCCCCGTGTCCCCATCAAATCTGCCTCTATTGATGAGTCCCTGAGAATTCTATCCTCGGCTCACCAATCGATCGTTGCGAGGCGGGTTGCGCCTCGGGGCATTCCTCCTATCTTCGGTGTACGGTTGATACATCTCTTTGTCCGGTTTTGACTCCTTCGCCAGGAGTCTACTTGGATATACTGAGCCCGAGGGTGCTCCCAACTGGTCATCCTCGACCCTGATCTTTGACTGGTACCGGTTGTGAACGTCTGACCAGGTTACAACGGGGTACTCGATCAGATTCTTTTTCAGCTGCCTTGAGGCTACTAAGCTTCGTTCGTTCAGGCCTTGTGTGAGGGCCTGCACCGCCTAGTCGTCAAATACCAAGGGTAGTTCCATTCGTTTCGTTTGGAAGCGAGATACGAATTCTCGTAGCATTTGATTCTCCCTCTGCTTAATCTTGAATACGTCGGACTTCCTTGTTCTACTTTGATGGCACCAGGGTGTGCCTTTATGAAGGAGTTTGCTAGCATGGTGAATAAATCAATGGATTTTGGATCCATGTTGTGATACCATATCATGGCCCCCTTCGAGAGCGTTTCCATTGATCTCATCGTCTTTTATGTCATTGCCCTTTACTACACATGTATAGGCAGTGACATGTTCATTGGGATCTGAGGTCCCGTTGTATTTTGGGAGTTCTGGCATTCTGAACTTCTTTGGAATAGGTTTCAGAGCCGCTTCCTCTAGGAACGGCCGTTGTACGAACTTCTTCGAATCTACACCGTTCAGGACCGGGGGTGTGCCGGGGATTTGGTCAACTCTGAAGTTATAGGTTTCGACCTTCTTGTCGTTGGCTGCTATCATTTTCTCGCCCTTCTCGATCCTTTTGGTGAGGTCCTCAAGCATTTTTATGATGGAAGGATCGGCTACTGATCCGTTGTTGCTTGATCTCTCTAGTACCTGTTCGGTAGGGGGAGTAGTTTCCGGTGCTACTGTTCTGGGAGTCTTCGGGTGGCTCTGCAGCTGAGCGATAGCTAATTGTTCTGCCTGCAACATTTCAAAATCAACATGAAGGCTGACTTCCCGTTCTTCCCGAGCTGGGCGTCATGCAAACCCGCATCCGCTGGAATCAGTCCAGGCGCGTTGTTGGGGTTTTGTGGTGGCACCCTAATAATTGGAACAACCACACCATTTTCTCCGTGGTCTTCAAGGTTGTCGTTCTCAACTCTGTTCGCTGAGCCAAACATTTTGACCTGAAGTTGAAGATCTTGGACAAGAAAAAGTGTGAAAGATAACTTGCATTGTGTGACGAAACCAGCAAGAAAATAATCACTATTATTTTTAGCCCCACAGTGGGCGTCAAACTGTTTATCATGAAAATGGTAATAACAATTAAATTTGTTAATGGAACTCTAAAAATACGTGATCTATTTTTATGCTAGTTGTTTAAGCAGTTGATGCTAGATATGTAGTTAAGGTTTCCTCAAGCAAAGCTTCATTTGGGCTTAACACAGTTGTCTTTGATCCCATAGTCAAAGACAATTCGTTGTGTTTAGGATGGTGAAAGTCGTGACCTTGAGACTCTTGTGTAGACCAAACAATCATCATGTGGTCTTTCGGGACCATTGTGTGCTCAAATCGTGTCTAAGGTTGTTGTGGGTCCCCGACTCTATGTCTTTAACAATCCTTGAGCTTGTGCGGTGAGAAATTGAATTGTGAGTCCAAGTTCTGAGCCAATGGTCTAGAACTTGCCCTGAATGTCTGTTTAGGCGAAATCTTAAGTGAAATTTGGCTTGAGAAGTGATTATAGGCTCTCCTTGATCCAAATGATAGTTGAACAATTTCATAGCCCACCAATGATTTACTCCCTAGTTAACCCTTTTGAGCCTTAAACCTTTTTCTTTCAACAACCAATACTATCAGCCTATATCCATTCTAAAATATACCCTCTTTCGGCACTCGATCTTCCTTTGAGCAATGGCAAAAGTCTAAGTTTGGGGGAGATACGAGAGAAGGAACAAGTGGTAAAAGGTACTAAAACGAAGAAAAGGAAGGCAATGAAAAAGAAAAGAAAAGAAAAAGACAAAAAGAAAGCCCAGTGTGAAAAAGAATAAAAAGGGATTCAAGAAAAAAAACAAAAGAGAAAAAGGTGTGGAAAAAGTTGAAAAAGGAGAAACGTTTTGAAGTATAATAAAAAGAGTGACATTACGTCTCTCTAACCCCTTAAAAAGAAGTGAGATACTTAAAGAGTCAAGAGAATTGTGCCAAATGAATACTTACATGATGGAACCCATTTAGACCAAACTTTTCCTACCCTGAACCAAAAGACTTCACATTGACTCCTCAAAAGCCCTCTATGATCTTGAGTTGAAGAGCGCTTACATTAGTGGATACTTACATGAGGAGCAAGCATATGGTACTTAGAGCCGGACTTGTGACTTTTCCTTGAGAGAGATTAGTGAATTCCCATTAATCTCGGTTTGTGTGCTAATACTCTAAAAGGTGAAGTTTGCTTAGGGAGAGTTGAGGATGTGTGAGTTTGGGTTCCACAATGGCCAAAGTAAATGGAGAGAGTTCTTTGATGTAATGAGTCAACTCTTGATGCTCTTGTGTCACACTTGATCCATAGTTCTTCCAAGTTTAAATGTTATTAATGATTCATTCGTATTGAGGGCAGTTGTTAGTCCCAATTGATGCTTGTTGAGGTTATTTTAGGATAGTTGGAAATACTTGGATTTTCCTTTAAGGGGTGGGTCTTATTTTGTTTGCTTGAGGACAAACAAAGGTTTAAGTTTGGGGGAGTTGATAAGTAGATATTTTAACGAGTTTTATGCTCCTTCTTGCTTATGCTTTGATTATAAATCATTATAAAATAGTCCCAAAAGGCTCATAAGTTGTGCTTGATTGCAGGTTTGATCGACAAAGTGACNGTTAGACTAAGAATGTCATTGGTCGTCTTTTGATGCAGGGCTTTACCTAATAGTTTTACTATACCAGCCATCTATTTCGTATTTCGTATTTCGTATTTCGTATTTCGTATTTTGTATTTCATATCCCTTATATTGCTGTTATTTATTATGCATTTTTATGGTACTAATATATCGGCTCCTATTACCTTTTTGAGCTGAGGGTCTCCTGGAAACAGTCTCTCTACCCTTCGGGGTAGGGGTAAGGTCTGCGTACATATTACCCTCCCCAGACCCCACTTGTGNTTTGAGCTGAGGGTCTCCTGGAAACAGTCTCTCTACCCTTCGGGGTAGGGGTAAGGTCTGCGTACATATTACTCTCCCCAGACCCCACTTGTGGGATAATACTGGGTCGTTGTTGTTGTTGTTGTTTGCAATTTTGTTTTTGTGGCATTTTCTATTAATTATTTGCATCTATCTGTGCACGTTTATTTTATTTAATTCATGAAAATACAAAAATATCACGCACTGCATTTAGGATTTAATTTTATATTTTTAGATTAATTAGTAAATTAGTTTGTTTTATAAAATATGAAAATCACAAAAATAGTTCATAATGCATTTTAACTTTTTAATTTTGAATTGTATAGTTTTTCTTTAAATTTAGGATTTAATTAATTATTGTAAATACTATGTTGAGTGATTAATCTAATTGGGTAGGTTAATTTAGTTTTAAAAAATAATTAACTTAGGTTTTATTTTAATTTGAAAAGAATAGAATTTGAAATTGAAAAAGAAAAAAAAAAGAAATAAAAGAAAATCCAATTTTGGGCTGCTACAATTGAATTTTCCCCAGGCCCAAGTGTTAAACACCCATTACCCGTTAAAATTGGCCCAAACTCGTCCCAAAACCCGGGTCCAACCTGGTCCATCTCCACACTAAACCAAACGACCCCGTTTCGATGAGCTTGAATCCCAGCCGTCGATCTTCTTTAGATCC